CTGGCAAGCCAGGAGGAAATGCATTTCATTGCAAAAGTGAGGAAGAGAATCAGAATCGAGGAAGAAGAGGAGGAAGAGGAGGAGATTGGATTTATACCCCGCCCTTCACTTCGAATCTCAGAGCGGCTTACAAACTCCTTTTCCCTTCCCCTCCCCACAACAGACACCCTGTGAGGTAGGTGGGGCTGAGAGAGCTCTTTCCAGAACTGTTATTGAGAGGACAGCTCTGAGAGAACTTGTGACTGACCTAAAGTCACACCAGCAGCTGAATGTGGAGGAGTGGGGAATCAAACCTGGTTCTCACAGTTTAGAGTCCGCATACTTAACCACTACACCAAACTTTGTATGTGGTTTCTCTTTGCTGTCTGGCACAAATGGAAAGAGGGATTTCCTCTATATCGTTGTTTGTTTCTTTACAATACCAAATACCCCATCACTCTGCTTCTGTTGCAGTTTCTGAGACCGGAAGCACAATGTGCCAGGTACCAAACACTCAATATTTATGGCAACACAAGTTTGGGGGGGGGGGTTGTCTCCTCTCCCCTTTGGGCTTCTCTTCACGCTGGAAGATATTTTGCTCTAAGCAAAGAGTGGGACGATCCAACATAACATCTTGTCAAAGGCACATGAGGCTCTGACGAGGAAGTCTTCGACTTGAGTCATTTCTGGCAATGGCACACTGACAGCGAGGCTGAACTCTACAGGAGGTTTTCTTGGTTTATTTTGGGAATGGCACAGGCAAAACCCAGAATCAGGCAACACTTAACTGAGGGGCACAAAGTTAACTTCTCAAAAATGAGCTCCCGGAAGACTTCAGGGCCCTGCAGGACCTTTTGCAGTTCCGCAGGGCCTGTAATACGATACCACTCTAATGGCAGAAAGTGAAGAGGACCTCAAGAGCCTCTTGCTCAGGGTAAAAGAGGAGAGCGCAAAAGTGGGCTTGAAGCTCAACATCAAAAAAACTAAGATCATGGCATCCGGCCCCATCACTCCTTGGCAAATAGAAGGGGAAGTTTGGAAGTAGTGACAGACTTCACGTTCCTGGGATCCCAGATCACCGCAGACTGTGACAGCAGCCATGAAATTAAAAGACGCCTGCTCCTTGGGAGGAAAGGGATGGCGAACCTAGACAGCATAATAAAGAGTAGAGACATCACCCTGTCAACAAAAGTCCGTACGGTCAAAGCAATGGTATTCCCAGTAGTCATGTATGGCTGTGAGAGTTGGACTATAAGTAAGGCCGAGCGCCGAAGAATAGATGCTTTCGAATTATGGTGCTGGAGAAGAGTCCCCAGGACTGCAAGGAGATCAAATTAGTCAATCCTAAAAGAAATCAACCCTGACTGTTCCCTGGAAGGCCAGATAATGAAACTGAAGCTCAAATACTTTGGCCACCCAATGAGAAGGGAGCACTCACTGGAGAAGACCCTGATGCTGGGAAAGATTGAAGGTCAAAGAAGACAGGGACGGCAAAGGATGAGATGGTTAGACAGTGTCATCGATGCAACGAACATGAAATTGAGCCAACTTCAGAGGACAGCGGAGACAGGAAGGCCTGGCGTGATCTGGTCCATGGGGTCGCGAAGAGTCGGACTCGACTGTGCGACTGAACAACAACAAGGGCCTGTAAAACGGAGCTCTTCCACCAGGCCTTGGATGAGGGAGCCGCGTCCATCTACCTGAGGCCCAGGCCCCAACATCAGCAATATTACTTCAACATTAACATCAACATTATACCAACGGAACAGCCTGGGCTCCGCCGATACGACCCAGACCATGTTGCCAGCTGACTGTCGGATGCCTGCCATCGTTATATTGTGCTAGCGCTTTATGCATTGTTTTAGACCTATTTATTGCAATTCCAATAATTTAACTGTTTTATCTTGTTATAAGATTATGTAAGCTGCCCTGAGCCTTCGGCGGGGAGGGCGGGATATAAATCAAATAAATAAATAGATGCATTTCCCTTGGATAATTATAAGACTTACCAAATGTCAGGCTAACATAAGAAGAGCCCTGCTGGATCAGACCAGTGGTCCATCTAGTCCAGCCTTCTGTCTCCCACAGTGGCCAACCAGTTCCTCTGGAGGTCCAACAACAGGGCATAGAGGCCTTCCCCTGAGATTGCCTCCTGGCTCTGAAATTCAGAAGTTTAGTGCCTCTGAATGTGGGCAGGGGGTTCCCCACAGTCACCATGGCTAGTAGCCACTGAGAGACCTATCCTGTTGATTCCTGTGGCCATTACTACATCTTCCAGCAGCAAATTCCACATTTTAACCACTCTCTGCGTAAAGTAGTATTTCCTTGAGGCTACAAATTGTTTTGGCATTCTTCCCCGTTACAAGGTGCAAATCAGACACACCAGTGAGATCAAAGGGAATGCCACAAGTATGTTGTAAAGAAATCATTACTTCTTGTACCACAAAAATTGGAAAGGGGAGAGGGGGCCGCGCTTCCTTAAAGTGTAATCCTACACAGAATGTAGTTCAGTTTGGAATCAATGGGCTTGGACTGGAGTATTCTATTCATGCCTGAATGAGAGCAGAATATAAAAGTCTTAACTTATTTGAGAGCTGCTGTAATGACTAGGAATGTGACCCAAGGCATTCTTGATTCAAACCTTTACTGCAACAGCAAATGCATTAGGTCAGTCTTTCTAGTACATTTTCCTTCCACCGTTCCTCCAAGGAACTCAGAGCAATGCATATGGTTTTCCTTTCCACGTTTTATCTTCACAACAGCCCTGTGAAGTAGGCCAGGCTGAAAGAGTAACTGGTCCAAGGTCACCCAGTGAATCCCATGAACTTAGATCTGACACTATAACACTACGCTGGATCCCTTAGTCGAGCTAGGATCTCTTAGCCTCTCTTCTGCTCTACAATATGCAGGTAAGTATATACCGGACTATACAGGAAACTGTTTAAACAGCCTACAAGCACTATATTTAATACTTCTTACTGTTTATAATCAAGCGGCACAAATTATTCAAGTTCGTTATGTCTCTTAAACGGAACAGCTATAACCACAGATTAGGAAAAGATCACACAGCACATACAACAGCCATTTAAAAGTGTCGAAGAACAACAGATGATCCCACAAGGCCTTTCTAGCCTGAGATTTTATGATCTCATCCTTCTTACCACATTGCTTTCACTGACAAATCATCAATGGGACTATAACATCGATATAGTTGCTTATTCACAATGATGGTTATTGGTTTTAATCTCATTGAAAAGACAATGGTGGCAAAAATCTAGAATAAAGGGTATTCCTGTATTAATCCTAGCACAACACCTTTTTAAATGCAAATTCTGTCAGCAGACAAAAGAGGATTTTTCCCCCTCCATCCCCACCCAAAACTACAGAAGCATACTACAGTCTTTACCCAATGAGAACTGCACTTTGCATCCATGGATTCTAGCCTAGCAGGGGCGTGACCAGCTGCTGCTGATATACTCCAATCCATTTTTTTCCTTCGAGAAAAATCATTTAAAATGGGGGGGGGGGTTTGAAAAAACAATGAAAGAGAGAATACTTATGCAGAAGACCTTTGCATGACAGTGATTCTCTAGAAAGCACAGCAAAAAACAAAAAACAAAAAACCAAGCTCTCAATTCCCCACATCTAGATCCAGGAGAAAATCTAGCCAGATCTTATAATTTTTGTGCATAGCAGTTGCTGTCCTTTACGTGCATAAAACACGAGTCAGACCATTTTAGTCCAGGACTTTCAATCTTTTCCAGCTTCCTTCTGCAGTCACACCCCAGAATTTAGAGCACAACTGCCATAACATTTAATTCCACAGCATAACAAAAGCAACACACCTTCCCAGGATAGAAGACTCACGGAAGTCTTATACACAGAGTTCCCTGCATTCTCAATTTTCAAAAGGGGAAAGACATTAACACAAAATGCCTTCTCCTCCTTTCTTAGATGGTTTATTTCTCCTCCCATCACCATCATAATTCTCTAAGCAATACTGTAGGTATGACATGGACTGCAAAACATGGCACCGGAGATGCGAGGCGGAGGGGGGGTGGGAAGCCCCATCCTTTTCTATCCAAGATCCACACCTACTGCAGTACCAACAGCCTATCGTTCACAGTCGCCTCCACAATCGAAACCAGTCTTCCAAACAGGAACCCAAACCTGGAGGAGACCTGGTGGAGGTGGCTACAAGCGGACGGGAAGGAAGGAAAGCAGGGTCTGGCAGAGGGGGGGGGGGCACCCCTTCAAATTCACTCGCAACCCGCCCGCCCCCCAAGTGCAACCCTCGGAAGAGGTAATTTGGAGCAGAATAATCAGGGACTTATTGTATCGGATCGCTGCAATTCCCATTTTGGAAGAAGATATTGCAAAAAAAAAAATTGCAAAAAAATATATATGTTGCATCCTTGCATGCCGCCTGTCAAAAGAGATGCAACGCTGCGGCTTATTTTAAACAGGTCGCGAATAAAGTTCCTAGAAGCTCTTAGCGGAGCGGCGTGGTCGGGGCACCTTTCTCACACACCGCCCAGCCTCCCGCTGAGGTGCCAGGAGACACACCCCTGCCCGCTAGCCCCCATTTTGCCTTGCAAGAACCACCAGCGCGGAGGGGGCGGGAAAGAGCCCCGACAGCAAGGCGAGAGAGATCATCCAGCGCCTTCTTTCTTTGCAAGAGGGGGCTTCTCCCTTGCAAAAGGGAGGGGTGTGGTTAGAGGAGGGGGGGGGAGAAGCTATTTAAATTGCGGTCGCCAGGCTAGTCGGTGCAGAATCGCATCCAAGGGGGCTGCCTCAGCCGGCCCGGCGTCAATTCACACATGCAAAAAGCCCCATTCCGCCCGGCGCCCCGGAGCGCCTGCCTTGCAGCGACGCCTCCCCTCCAGCCGCGGCCAGCGCCGAGCGCACCCACCCACCCCGGCGCTCCACGCTCCCTCCTCCCGTGCCAAGCCGACCCTTACGCGGGAGGGAGCCCGGCTCCCCGAAGGTCGCCTCGCCCCGGGGCTGCGCAACCCCCCTACCTGACGCTGCGCCCGGCTTCAGGCTGCTGCTGCTGCTGCTGCAGGGAGACGCTCGGCGGAGAGTCTCGCTCACCGACGCCGGGAGGAGGGGGAGTGACAGGCGAGGAGGGGAGGCAGCGGCGACGGGGACGCGCCCAGCCAGCCTCGGGGGCGCGCGCCGGCTCCGGAACCTTCCCGAGCAGGCGCGCTCGCCGCGGCCCTCTCCCTCCCTCCCTCCC